TTTAAGGATAAAGTACAATAATCTTGTCAGGATATTAATTTTGAGCGAGTGCAGCCTGCCAAACCATGATGGGGGGTTCTTAACCCACCTTTGTAAATCATCAGAGTGAGTGTTGTATAGTGGGGGGGGGTAATTCTTTTGGTATAGAGTTTGGAGTTTTGGGGTCAAATGAATTCCTAGGTAAGGAAGAGCCTCTGATTGCCACCTAAATGGGAAGGAGTGTTGAAGTACAGTAATTGGACTGTTCTCTGGTCTGATATGTTCATGACCTGGGATTTGGTGTGATTGACTTTAAGTCCTGATATGGAGGAAAAAAGTTGTAAATCTGATAAGAGATTGGGTATTGAGGTAGCGGGGAAAAAAGAAGCAATAGTATGTCATCTGCAAGGAAAGCGCATTTGTGAACTCTGCCCCCACAGGGGATACCTTTGATATCTATATTGTCTTGAAGTCTGATTGCTAGGGGCTCCAAAGCACCCCTGACGTGTTCCTCTGCTGGTGGACAGATGTGAGAAGTTATAGCCTTTAATATGGATATTTTCCATGGGCGCATGGTAAAGAGTGTGTAATAGTGTCAAGAAGTGGGGACTGAACCCATATTTATGAAGGACATAGAAGGGTAATCTAGCGATAGAAGCATGCCTTGTCTTTGTCTTTGATTATCCCAATTCGAATGAATTGCCGTTATGATGTCTTTCAGGCACCTCGTCTGGTCTGGGGCTTGCCAACCCTCAACAAACTCCACTTGGTCGGGGTGAATGTATCGTGGTAGGAAAGAGATAAGCTTATTTGCTAATACTTTTGTCATGATTTTTTATTCAGCATTTATAAGTGAAATGGGGCGGTAGTTAGTGAAATCCCTGTGGTCTTTGCCCAGATTGGGAATCATGTGAATTGTCACAGGGTTTTCATGTGATAGTATTGTGTGTCCCTCTTGTAAGTCGTTAAAGTATGCACATAAGAAAGGTGTCAGTGTTTCAGCATTCTTTTTGTAATAATGCCTTGAAAAACTGTCTGGTCCAGGTGCCTTAGAGTGATTTAGGGATTTGATTGCATCCACATGAGCATGAGTCAAGTGAGGGAGTGAGAGATTTTGAAAAAAGTTGTAGGCTGAGTGACCTAGGAATGGACCTGATGCAGAGTACAGATGACCGTAAAAGTTGAAGAATTCTGTTACTATCAATTGGGGGCATTCTTACTTTCGTTAAGGCAGGGTTAAAGGGTCTTGAGGCCAGTTTCCGTGCCAGAAATGTGTTGGGCTTATCTCCCATATGGTAATATCTATGTTTGGCCCAGCGTAAGCGTTTTTCAGCTCTAGTCATGAGGCTAAGATTAAGAGTAAGGGGGGCTGAATCAATTTGGTGTCTCAGGTCTGTTCGGGTGGTTAGTTTTTTGGCCTGCGATAAATTTTTCAGATCCTCCTCCTGTTTTTTGTATAGCTGTTTCCCTGGCTTTTGTAACCCTTGAGGCCATTAGAATCAACTTCCCTCTAATGGTCGCTTTGTGTGCTGCCCAGGTCACTGCTGCGGACATGTTAGGGGACATGTTGTCTTTAAAAAAGAAACAGATTTCTGTCTCCAGTTCGGCGCTTCATGTAGGGTCATTGAGTAGTGATGCATTAAGCCGCCAGGGGGATAGTTGGGGTTACGCCCATAAATCTGTAATTGTCAACCAAGGGATTGTATGTATTTTGGCCCCCGATACAAATGGGAGTAAGGAGGAGAGAGTGAATAGGTGGTCAATTTGGGAGTAGGACTTGTGGATGTGAGAGTATAAGGTGTAGTCTTTATTCGTAAATTTGCAATCCCTCCACACATCAATTAGGTCAGTAGAGTGTAGTAGTTTTGCCAAGGAACATTCCTGCTTAGGCATATGCTTTAAGGGATGACTTATGGGGATTGGACTTGTCCAGAATTTGGTCTAAAGAAGTCTCCCCTAAGATCATGTGGCCTTCCACATGGGGTATGATGATGTCTAGCAGCTTTTGGAACAAAGCTAGTTGGCCAATATTTGGGGCATAATAGGATAGAAAGGTGTCAACCGTGTCATTAATCTTTCCTGTTGCCATCATATACCTGCCCTCTTTGTCTTTTAAAAACTTTGTGAGGGTGAACGAGACTCTTTTGGCAAAGCATATTGCTACCCCTTGCTTTTTCTTTGTGTTATTGGTTTGAAAATATGTTGGATATTTGGAATGGAGAAACTTAGGGGCAGAGGGTTCGGAAAATGTGTTTCCTGGAGTAGAAGAACATCCCCTCTAAGTTTGGTATAGTAGTGAAATTCCTTGTTCCTTTTCAATGGGAATTAAATCACTGTACATTGTGTGTCACTACGGTGTAGTAGAATGGGTGAGAGGTCATCATAGGGGATAGGCAGGCTGCATTCACTGGTCATGATCAAGCAAACTGAGCATCGTCACTTTTGAGGTTATCAAGACAACCCAAACGGCCTTCATTGACAGGGAGGCTCACTGAGGACAGATACAGAGAAAATGGAAAAAAGATGGAAAGATTCACAAAGAAGAAAGAATATGCTAAAGGTCAAAGAATGCTGGCCAGCAGCATCAATTCAACAATCAGACTAACAAAACACAGTTGTTCAACTGTCATTCGATATCGAGAAATAATCCCCTTTACAAGTCATGGAGTTGACTCTCTCTCAATAGGTAGAGCCAGGTTCACTGTAGGTGGCATGCATGTACCCGCCGGCACATGTCCATCAATATCAAATAAGGTGTGGGTGCAAATGGCTGGGTGGATGCAGCACCCCGCAATAACGCTATTGAAGAATATCCCCTGGTGCTTCCTTAGGTGCTTGAGTTGTGTAGAATAACACCAATGGGCGGAGGGGGAAGGGGGGTTTAGGAGGGGATGGACATGGTCAGGCAGCAGCATCTGAACAGTAATCATTATCAAACCAATTAGTGTTATAACTCTGTCAACCAACATGAACTTAAGAGTCAATCGAATGTAGGGTAGGGTAGGGTAGGGTAGGATAGTGGGAGGAGGAAAGGGGAAGGAAGTGGGGATGGGATGGGATGAGGAGAAGAAAAAAAAAAGGGGGGGAGTTCAGTAAGCAGGATGTTAGTAAGTGGCATGTAGGGCCTAGCCCAATGCAACAGAACATTTCGAAACTAATAGATGCTAAACTACAGACTGCTGTGTCAGTCAACTGGAATAAGTACTCATCCGTAGATGGTGCACTAACAGGGTGCTGCAAGACTTCAGGTGAGACTGAGCCACTGCTTTTTGTCCTGTCGGTTCAAGTAGTTGGTGGTGATCTGCGTGGCTGCTGGGACCAGATCGATGAGAGTGGGTGGTCTTTCCGGCAACGTTTTTGTGAGGTTGATGGTTCTTTGGAGAGAAGGGTCAGATTCTGGAGAAATTCCTCGCCGTCCTGGAAAAAGGTGAATAAGTGAGTTTTTCCTTTATGGTTGAAAGCCATAGTTGTGAGAGCAACAGTTTAAAGGAGCAGCGTTTTTAGACCATGAAAGGTGACAGATCAGCAAACAGCTGGATGGGGTGTCCCCTCAAAGATCAGGTAGGACTCTCACTGCCAACATCCTCTTCTCCTTGATACGATAGAACTGAGGTTTCATGATGACATCTCTATGTAGGCCCTCTTGTCTAGGAGTGGTGAGGGCTCTATGGATTTGATTGATTTCCAGGTAATGAGTGGAGATTTTCAGGATAAGTTCCCCTTATCAGTTGGTGGCTGCTTCTTCCAGATGTTATAGATCTCTGGTAGCCCTCAGATGTGCACATTGTATCTCATGGATCTGTTTCTCAAGATCTTCTATTTTGGAGTTGCCCTGGTTAAATTGTTTCTGGAGGTCTGAGATCAGTGAGGTGTTTTGATTACCTCTGCAAACCGTACAATCCATTTTAGATTCTATGGTGTCCAGCCTTTCACTTATGGAGTGTAAGTCCCCCTTTAAATCAGTGGTAATCATAGTGCAAGCTTTAGTGAGTAGCTGTTGCAGCAGGGCTAAAAATATTGCTATTAGGATTGCATCTCCTGAGTAGGTGGTAGGAGGTAGTTGTAGCTGCTCAGGAGAGGAGCTTGGTTGGCTGAATGCTGATCAGCCATGTGTTTATCAATAGAGGAGGACGGAGACATTGCACCCTCCATGTCCCCCCTGATTCTGTGTAGGGAGAATCAGGGCAGATCTCACCTGGAGGAGTTGTAGGCATGTCTGCCTATGACTGAGGGGAGCCCGGGTTACTCAGCGCAGTTTATAGTGGCCACATGATGTGTTGGCAGGTTCCAGCTTCCTGAAGTCCCCATCTTGGCTGTGGATGGAGATGGTGGTGTAGTGCGCACTGAGCAGGGCTAAGCAGATGGCGTGGGCAGCTTTTTCTTTGCTGGTCCTGGCCCCCTCCGATGCATGGTGCTATCCTCCACCAGGTCAGGTCACCCGTTGGCTTCTTCTGGCCCCCTCATCGCTGTTTATGGCTTGGGTAGTGCCGGCGAGGTGCAGAGCTTGTTTACGTCGTCGTCAAGGCCACGCGCATGCGCAGCCCAGGTATGATTTTTATTGCATTTTTACATTGATCCATCTAGGCACAATGTGAATAGGTATATTTTACACCTGAGGGGCCATAAGGGAAGCTGGCAATCAATGCAGTAGTCAGCAATACTAGTAGTAGTCACAAGTTGCAGGTCCTTTTCTAGCTTCTACATAGTGATCACGGGGGTGGGGGCTTACCTGGCGCCATGACCATTCATAGAGCGCCTTATATTTTTTTCAGTGAATACAAGGTTTTCTCTGATTGGATGAGGCTAAGATTGTGACATAACCACCCTGCTTCTCCACCTTGTCCAATCAGAGAACACCTTGCATTCAGTGAAAAAATACTAGGCATTCGATGAATGCTGGTGCAGCCAAGTGAACAACCCCTGTGATCACTATTCATTAACTGGTTCCCTGCCACCCTATAGCAGAACTTCTGCTACATGGCCGCAGGGCTGTGCAAAACCACTTATATATATATATACATGATTTTGCATTTCCGGGTAGGGGGCGTGCACATGTGCCCTACCTGCGCCACCATTGGTGGCTACAGCTGTCAATCAACAGTTCCCAGCCGGAGATTCCCCGCCAGCACCGGCGATTGCCAAGGAACAGTGACAGGGTTGTGTAAACAACACAGATCTCTCCCCTGTCAGTACCAACACTTTCTATTGCTCTGTATAGCAGAGCAATACAAAGCAGCATGTTTCCCTAGAAAAACACACACATCACACACAGTAAAACAGCACACAGTTAACCCTTTGATCACCCCAGATGTTATCCCCTTCCTGCCCAGTGCCATTTGTACAGTGTCAGGGCTTTTTATTAGCACTGATTACTATATTAGTGTCATTGGGGATGTCAGTGGCAGTTAGTCAGTTCCCCCCAGTGTCAGAATGCCCGCCGCAGTCCTGCTATAAGTCGCTGATCGTTGCCATTACTAGTATAAAAAAAAAATCTCAGTATATACCGCTATTTGTAAATGCTATAACATTCACGTAAACCAATTAATTTACACGTATTGGGATTTTTTTTGTAGCAAAGACATGTAGCAGAACCCAATTTTGCCAAAATTTATGGCGAAATTTTATTTTTAAAATTTTTGTACTTGATAAGTTTTATAGAAAAAAGTAAAAAATATTTGGGGTTTTTTTTCAAAATTGGTGGTCTTTTTTTTGTTTATTGTGCAAAAAATAAAAACCACACAGGCGATTAAATACCAACAAAGGAAAGCTCTATTTGTGGGGGGAAAAAAGAACATAAATTTCATGTGGGTGCAGCGTTGCATGACCGCGCAATTGTCAGTTGAAGTAACGCGGCGCCGGGGGAGAGAGGAAAATCTGGAGGGCAAGTGGTTAAAAAATACAAGACATTCTGTGAATGGCAGCTGTGCCAAGTGAGTGAGTGGTTACTGTGCAGAAGGGAAGCTGCTCAGCAGAGTAACGTGGAAAGATCGCATCTATGACTGTGATAGCACCAACCACTATAGTGATTTGCAGCTTCCACAGTGATCACTCGGACATTGTATATATGCATTCCTAATTTCTTACATTGGGCCAATAAAAATCTATACCTCGAGCTAAGCTCTGAAAAAATATGCACATCTTTTTTGCAGGTAAAAAAAAGTGAATTTACTACTTTTTGTTCCAGGAGCCTAGAAAACATTGCAGGACTCACAGATACACACTGACAGGAAGAGAGAATGAACTACCCCGGAGCTCAACATTGAGAACTAAAAGCTGACAGCCCCAAAGGCTGTCAGGACCTGTAGTTTTACATTAAAGTGTTACTAAACCCCGAACCCGGCATTCACTATATCTGGTCTCCCAGGACCCGGCATTCACTATATCTGGTCTCCCCGGACCCGGCATTCACTATATCTGGTCTCCCCAGACCCGGCATTCACTATATCCGATCTCCCACAGTACACAGAACATGGAAATGCAATTATTTCAGTAAATATAAACTGCTAAATACCTTTTCTCATCAGCAGTATTTAGCAGTCTTGTGATTTCTATCAGTGTTCAGCTGAGCACTAGTTAATCGCATAGGAGGAGTTTTCATTCTACTCTGATTGCCTGCATAACCCCTGACCCTCTGTCTGCACAGTGCTGATTGGCCCTGTGCTGATCACATGCACACTCTCAAAGAAAAAAAAACTCATTAGCCATACACACTAAACTGAGCATGTGCAGAGTGACTCCTAGGGCTCTGTACTATCTGCAGATGGACTGGGGACAGTAAAAGAAGGGGAGGATCAGAGAAGACAGGATCAAACAGCCTTTTTACACAATATGAAGGAATAAATCCCTCAGGTTCCACAGTGAGTATAAAAAGCATGCTTTACTGCATTTACAGACTGATTTTATGGTTTTGGGTTTAATAACACTTTAACAGAATTCTGTGAATGAATGATGTGGCTGGGTGGTGGGAGCCCCGCACGGTCATGTTTTTTTTTTTTAAATAGTGACCGCTAGCGAGGGGAGAAGATCCCCTGCTAGCTGTCACTGTATGTAGCGGAGCGGGCAGTGGCTCCGGCAGTGGGGAACATGTTACATGTTGCACCCAAAAAATGGGTGGAATATGTAACATGTTACCAAAGGAACTTATCCTGTAGAAATGCCAATATATAAATGTTAGCATTTTGTGATTTGAATATATACTGTATATAAGCAGTTGCAGTATCCTAAACTGTCCCTAGGATAGTCATCCAATCGCTCCCTGAAATGTAAGAATCTGAATATTTACCTCTCCAGCAAATGGCAAGTGAAATCTTCATTGTCTACATCCGCTCTGGGCCCCGTGGCTTTGCAATGGGCTGATTCTCTTCAATTACTGATGCTGGCATCAAACATAGACGAATCCAATAGAAGTCTATGGGACTTTAATGTGCAAGTATGGCCAACACAGAGAAGACTTGTGGCGCTGCGACTGTTGGATCCTGGTAAGTATGCATCTCTGGGGAATGTGGGATTGGTTAGTAAAAGGCAGAGGGACAAAAAGGATACCATTTTGTTTTAAAGTGTACCTATCCTTTAACAAACTAATAATAACAACAGAATGTTCTCTCATTATAATATATTATCTACAAAGAGAAATTCTCATATTTTCTCTGAATGCTGTTGATGTGTTATTCCCAAATGTATATACAGGTGATGACAAATACCCTACACATGTATTTATAGCATCTCAGGGTAACAAGTAGGGATGATGTTTGGATTCACTGCTACAATGGATTTGCAGGTAATTCCCTGGATTCATAAAGTTAGTGATTTCTGGACTTTAGATACAAATGTTGCAGGTTTGCTGGCAACAATAAAAATGACCTACAGGCATATGGCCTTTGTCCGTCAGTTGAGTCACAAAAGCCAAGAAGCTTGTCAGGGTGTGCTGAGGCTGTTAGGCACAACTGGCAGTTATGTGTTTTTACATTTTTGTTTGTAATTTTGTTTGTTTTGTTTGTAATAATATTATTATTATTATCTTTATCATAATTGCTTTTGTTTTGTTTCAATATACTTTATTCAGGTTTTACATATTAATATAAAATTTAAATAATGTGCACTTATCTACTATAAATCAGATACTAATATAACAATTCTATGTGAAAAATGTGGCATATTCTACCACACAGATACACAATTCAAAATACTTCAGTTTAGTATTATTCAGTATTATTTTTTACTATTTTATTTATTTATTTTTACAACATAATGTTTTCATTATTTGTTTATAATTTGTTTAGGAGCCCCGCTGGGGGGCTTTGGTGAAATATCAGTGGTCTAAAAAGACCACTAATGTTTCACCTTTGCGGCAGAGAAAGGAGACTGAGGACACAACCCTCAATCTCCTTCTATGCAGCCACCGCAGCACAGAATGAATGGACAGGAATAGCTCTGTACAGAGCTTCCCATTCATTCACAAACCAAAGCATAGCAAATGCACTTTACTATGCTTTAGTTATGACTGGACAGAGTCAGTGATTGGTACGGATCACAGACTCTATTCATTCACACAAGGAAGGAGCTGGCCCCTTCACCGCTCTCCATCCTGACAGCAGGTGAGGGCGAGACAGGAGAGAGCACAGGGGCCTGGTGAGAGCACGGGGGCAGGTGAGAGCACGGGGGCAGGTGAGAGAGTAGCCCAGAGAGACCACAGGAGCTGAAGAGAATGCAGTTGCCAAAGAGAACACAGGAGCTGAAGAGAACGCAGTTGCCAAAGAGAATGCAGGAGCTGAAGAGAACGCAGTTGCCAAAGAGAACGCAGGAGCTGAAGAGAACGCAGTTGCCAAAGAGAACGCAGGAGCTGAAAAGAATACAGGAGCCGGAGAGAGCGCAGGAGAGCACAGGAGCGAGAGCACGGGGGTGGGGGGCAGGCAGGAGGGCACAGTATGAGGGAGGTCAGTAGGGTACAGTATAGAGGAGATTATGAGGGCACAGTACAGAGAAGGTCAGGAGGGCACAGTACAGGTAAGGTCAGGAAGGCACAGTAGGGGGAGGTCAGGAGGACTCAGTAGGGGGAAGCAGGAAGGCACAGTATATGGAGGGTAGGAGATCACAGTACAGGGGAGGTCAGGAGGGCACAGTACAAGGGGAGGTCAGGAGGGCACAGTAGAGCGCAGGCAGGAGGGCACAGTAGAGGGCAGGCAGGAGGGCACAGTATATGGAGGGTAGAAGAGCACATACAGGGAAGGTCAGGAGGGCAACGTAGAGGGCCGGCAGGAGGGCACAGTATATGGAGGGTAGTAGAGCACATACAGGGAAGGTCAGGAGGGCACAGTACAGGGAAAGTTAGGAGGGCACAATAGAGGGCAGGCAGGAGGGCACAGTATATGGAGGGTAGTAGAGCACATACAAGGAAGGTCAGGAGGGCATAGTAGAGGGCAGACAGGAGGGCACAGTACAGGGTTAGTCAGGAGGGCACAGTATGGGGGAGGTCAAGAGGGCACAGTACGGGGAAGCTCAGGAGGGCAAGTACAGGGGAGGTCAGGTGGGCACAGCACAGGGTTGGTCAGGAGGGCACAGTACAGGGTTGGTCAGAGGGCACAGTACGGGGGAGGTCAGGAGGGCACAGTACGGGGAAGGTTAGGAGGGCACAGTACGGGGGAGGTTAGGAGGGCACTGTACGGGGGAGGTTAGGAGGGCACTGTACGGGGGAGGTCAGGAGGGCACAGTAGGGGGTGGGCAGGAGGACACAGTACAGGGAAGGTCAGGAGGGCACAGTAGGGGGAGGTCAGGAGGGCACAGTACAGGTAAGGTCAGGAAGGCACAGTACAGGGGAGGTCAGGAGGGCACAGTAGGGGGCGGCAGGAAGGCACAGTATATGGAGGGTAGGAGATCACAGTACAGGGGAGGTCAGGAGGGCATAGTACAGGGAAGGTCAGGAGGGCACAATACGGGGGAGGTCAAGAGGGCACAGTACGGGGAAGCTCAGGAGGGCAAGTACAGGGGAGGTCAGGAGGGCACAGTACAGGGTTGTTCAGGAGGGCACAGTACAGGGTTGTTCAGGAGGGCACAGTAGGGGGTGGGCAGGAGGGCACAGTACGGGGGAGGTTAGGAGGGCACAGTACGGGGGAGGTCAAGAGGGCACAGTACGGGGGTGGTCAAGAGGGCACAGTAGAGGGTGGGAAGGAGGGCACAGTACAGGGGAGGTCAGGAGGGCACAGTACAGGGGAGGTCAGGAGGGAACAGTACAGGGAAGGTCAGGAGGGCACAGTAGAGGGCGGGCAGTAGGGCACAGTACAGGGGAGATCAGGGGGGGGCACAGTAGAGGGCGGGCAGGAGGGCACAGTACGTGGGAGGTCGGGGGGCACAGTATGGGGAGGTCAGGAGGGCACAGTAGGGGGCGGGCAGGAGGGCACAGTATGGGGCGGCAGGAAGGCACAGTATATGGAGGGTAGGAGATCACAGTACAGGGGAGG